TTATCCTTACCAAAAAAAAAGTAATCCAGGCTTCAGGGACCACACCAAAAGGAGTTCCTTATGTTTCTCCTTTGTTAGCAAAGCAATAAAATTTCTTTTTCTTTTTCCTTTTCCTTTTCTCTCAAAACCATGTCCTCATTATTACTTTAGCAACGGGACAAATATAACAGTGGCCCAATTCCCATTTTGAATATACCCCTCACTGCTTATTTTATTTATTTTTGGGGTACCAGAGATTGAACCCAGGGGAAGTTCACCACTGAGGCACATCCTCAGCCTTGAAAAAAATGTTCTTTTTAGAGACAGGGTCATGCTTAGGGCCATGCTAAATTGCTAAGGCTGGCTTTGAATTCATGATCTTCTTGTCTCAGCCTCTTGGGTTGCTGGGATTACAGGTGTGCATCACCATGCCTGCCTTCACATCTCCAGCTTTTTTTACTTTTTGTTATTTATTCATTGATTTATTTATTTTGGTACTGGGGGTTGAACTCAGGGGCACTCAACCACTGAGCTATATCCCAAGCCCTATTTTGTGTTTTATTTAGAGATAAGGTCTTGTAAGAGAGGTTCACTTGATGCTTTGACTATCTCTTTGTTACTTTGAAACTTACACTTTTTTTCCTTTTTCCCAAACTTCTTCTCCCTGACCTTTTCCTCCCTGATCTTCTTCCCCCCAACTTTCTCCTTCCTGATCTTCTTTCCCTAAACTTTTCCCTGATCTTCTTTTCCCTAACCTTCTCCCTGATCTTCTTCCTGATCTCTCCTCTCTAATCTCATTTTCTCTGTTCCTGCTGATGGAAAGAATCTCAGCCTTTGGGACAGGATTCCCCTGTGTTTCTCCTTTGCTAGCAAAGCAATAAACCTTTTTCTTTGTTCTCAAAACCATGTCCTCATTATTGGATTGGCATCGGGCACAAGAACTGAGCTTTCAGCAGCAGTCTCACTGATTTTTGCTTAGCACCTTGCTGTTGCTGAGGCTATCTTTGAACTCAGTCCTCCTGCCTCAGCCTCTCCCAAACTGCTGGGATTACAGGAATGTGCCACTGCAAGGCTCACTCCTTATTTTAAAAGGGACATTTTCTTTCTTTCCCTCCTCTCCTAATGTCAGGATGGCCTTAGGCCTGAGCCTAAGCAACTCCATTTTAAAAATTACAGTTTGAAACCTGCAGTTTCACCAGGCACACCCACAGAGCCCTCCAGTATGGCCTCAGACAAGTTATTTCCCCTCACTCTGATAAATAGAGTGGAGCCTCTGGCAGGCTGTCCTCGCCTGATAAGAGGGAAAGAAAAATCAGGGTGGAGATATCAGACCAGATGTCTCTGACCCCAGGGTAAATGATGTCATGGAGAAATACAATGGAAGCTGATAAGGATTGAAAGGGGGGGGGTGGGCCAAAAGCCCCCCAGATTAGTATAAATGATAGAGCTGATGAACAGGGATTCAGCCAGGTGAAACAAGGATGCACTTGAGCTGGAGAGCCTGATGAGGACCTAACATCCTATTACTTGTCATCATTTCCAGATCATCTGTGTGATTCTTACTGCTCTGAAACTCTACCACCTCATCTGGACCCTGGTGAGAACCGTAACTTCTCCCTAGGACCCTCTCCTCAACCAGTCATCCCCTCCACATCAGGAAAAGCCTGCCTTGGTTTCAGATCTGATCACTGTGGTCTAAGTGAGTGTGCATCTGCTGGACATAAAGCCTAAGGCTTAAGAATTTTGAACTTAGCATGCAGAGGAAATGTCTAACATTAGCCTGACATGATTAAGTGTGTTTTGCAGTGCTTAGAATTAATCTAGAATTGTTTGCTGTGAATTTATTAATCTAGAATTGTTTGCTGTGAATTGATTATGTCTATTGCAGTACCTAACATTAAGGGTTGTCGTTTCTTGATTAAGAACCTATAGAGTGAAATTGTATTGAGTAATTTGAGTGAATAAAGCATTGAAAGGGGCAGAAGAGTGTGGACATTCTTTATTTCTCCCTGGACTGCATACACGTCACAATTTTGCCCCCTCACAACACCCTCTCTCTCTCTCCTAACTAGGGAGTGGAGGTGGGGTGTGGGAGGGAACAAGATTACCTTTTCCTCTCCTAGGCTGAGTTACAGGTCCTTCAGTGTACAACTACCACAGGAAGGAGATGTCACTGGAAGATCTAGGAAGTGACTATCTCCCAAATTAACAAGTGAATTTCAACACAACATCTGGGCACACCTCTGAAGAGACACCCTTTCCTCCTCCTACAGTCAAGGCACACCTAAATTGCCTGGGGTCCTCTGTGCTTCTCCTTTGCTAGCAAAGCAATAAAACTTCTTTTTCCTTTTTCTCAACTGTGTCCTCATTATTAAATTGGTATGAATTAGTATTGGGGACAAGGATCAAGTTTTCAGTAACATCAGGGCACCTGCCTAGCATGTGAGAAACCCTTGATCAACTCCCAGTAATGGAAAAAAAATCTTATTTGCCAGGAGTGGTGGCACTCATCTGTAATCCCAGTGACTCAAGACTGAGGTAGGAAGACCACAAATTCAAGGCCAGCCTCAAGGATTTATCGAAGACTGTCAGCAATTCAGTAAGATCCTGACTAAAAATAAAAATAAAAAGGATGAGGGATGTAGCTCAGTGATAAAATATGAGAGAGAACCAGTTAAAGCAGGAAAATATATTTAACTACTCCTCTTCAACTGTTTAAATTAAGCAACTTCTTTTGTGTAGAGAATATTTGCATCTATAAAGGACATTTTCATTGGTAAAGGTGTCTATACCAGAAATAGACAACTTTTGCTGGGTGTACGCCTGTAATCCCAGTGGCTTGGGAGGCCGAGACAGGAGGATAGCAAGTTCAAAGACAGCCTCAGCAATGGTGAGGTATAAAGCAACTCAGTGTCTATAAATAAAATACAAAATAGGGTTGAGCTCACTCCCTCGTGCATTCGCATACACACACACACACACACACACACACACACACACACAAAGAAAAAAAAGAAAGAAAAAGAAATAGACAACTTTTTATCACCTGAAAAACTTTCCATTCTTCACCAGTGCTAGACAGGCTTTATACCACTGAGTTACTTCTCAGCCCCAAGACTTGCATGTGCACAAGGCAACCTTTCTTTAGTCACAATATATTACTTCTCATGTAATTCTTCTTTTAAACTGAAGACTTAACCCAGGGGTGCTTTGCCACTGAGCTACAACTCTAATCTTTTTTTTTTTTTTAATATGATCTTGCTAAATTGCTGAGGCTGGCCTTGAACTTGTGATCCCTGCTTCAGCCCCACAAGTTGTGTAATTACAGACATGCCCCACTAGCCCAGCCCATAATTTTCTTTCACCACCCCTTATAGGACCATCATGAAAAGCAGTACCCCCTTAAGATTAACAGTAAAAACTGGGGGTGGGGTCAAATGATACAGCTTGTGCCCCCAAACTTGCTTCCCCACATATCAAAAAAGCAAAGGTACTCCAGGAACATTAACTCATAGTTTCTTATCTATTGAAAGCCAGGGATGTGCTTTTCCTTGCTCTCCCATCTTAAATCATGGCTTTTTAGCTATTCAGAGCATGCTATGTGCCTTTTCCTATCCTCTTATTCACTGTCTTGTCAGCATCAGAAACTACGTGCATCACTAAAACCAAGATACTCTCCTCCTGAGTATCCAAGGTCAAACAACATAATGAATAAAACTGTTGAAGTGTCAATAAAATAGCAAATTCCTGGGACCTCCAAGATTTGTGTTTTCTTCCACTCCTCGCCTATATGTTCTCTTAACAGCTACGTCAATTCATCTTCATCACAGGGGAAAGGATGTTTATCCAGGACATGGCATTAGTATGAAATACTGACAATAAGATGAACCACTGACTACTTCCTCAAGGTTGATGTTTACTGAAAGCACTTAAAATGCCACTCCTACCACCTTTCACGTTTGTCAGACTATCTCTCTTTGAAACTAGCTTGATATTCTTTTGGCCAATGCTGTTTCTCCCTTCTGCCAGAACAAGAAGTTCCAATTTACTCTTGTTTCCAATGCAGTTGTGTCTTTATATCTGATTCTACTGATGAAGGGCACAAGAACCCACCAAGCCAGTAACAGAACCATCAAATTCTTCTTCCCTTCAGTGGCTCAGGATGATATATAAACCTCAATCACTTGGCCATTTCTTTGAGTGTCGTATTTTTGCGGCCCTCCCATAAGCACGTATGTAAACTGTTTTTCTCCTATTAGGTTTCTTTTTTTGGGGGGGGGTGCAGGATGAACTGGGATTTTTGAACCCAGGGGCCCTTTATCACTGAGCTACATCCCTAGCCCTTTTTATTTATTTACTTTTTAAGACAAGATATCGCTTCATTGCTTAGGGCCTTGCTAAACGAGACTGACCTGGAACCTGCCTCAGTCGCCCGAGTTGCTGGGATTACAGGCGTGCAACACCGTGCCCAGCTTCCCCTGTATCCCGTCACCCCCCAAAGACAAGCAGGGGAAACATTTATCCCCTGGAAGAGACCGGCAGGCGAGAACAACTGTAAGTCAAGCTGATAACACAGAGGAGGGAAAGATGCAGGAGGCGGCGAGAGCGAGATAGCAGAAAAGGGCTGGCCAGCAGAAGGGACATCTCCCCAGTCCAGCTAAACTCCAAGCCCTCGCCCTGTTCTAGCACTTTACAAAGGACGCTACTGCGCAAGTCACACGCTGCGGCCGCGCAGCCTACTGGGGGCTGTAGTCCAGAGAGGCTGAGGCCCAGGAGGCGGGGACCGGTTTCTGGGTGGGCCGCGACTGGAATCCGATGTCAACTGGGCGGAGCTCGTTAGCACTGCCTACTAGATTTCAGCAGAGAGAATTAGCGCAGTTCTCTCTGTTTGTCGCAGTTCCTTAGAACAAGGCTGTGGGAAAGCCCCACCGCCCACCGGGGATCCGGGCGCAGGCCCCACCCCTCGGCCCTCGTGGGCGGGGCCTCTCCGGGGCGAGCCCGCGTAGAGCGGCGCTTTGGGCGGGGCGTCGGGCGTCGTGCCTCTGCGGCGTGCACGGCTCCCGCGCTCCCGAGGCTCGCCTCCTTGGCTAGCGGCCTTTACTTTTCCGGGCGGGAGGCACACTAGGGCCTGTCCATGGATCGGGCAGCCGTGGCTAGAGTGGGCGCGGTAGCAAGCGCCAGCGTGTGCGCCCTGGTGGCGGGGGTGGTGCTGGCCCAGTACATATTCACCTTGAAGAGGAAGACGGGCCGCAAGACGAAGATCATCGAGATGGTGAGTGTGGGGGCCCGGCGCCCCGAGAGTGCGTAAGGGACCCACGCCGCTGTCCGTCCGGCCTCGCCTGCCAGCACTGTGCCGCTGCTGCAGTGCGAAGGGGCGCCGAGTGCGTAATCGATCAGGCTGGGGCCTCGCCAGCTAAGGGGCATACAGCTTCGGGGTCCCGCGCGGGGCGACTCCGCGGCTTGGTGACCTGGGCTTGATTCCCGGATCGAGTCCTTTGTTTTCTCCGTTTGGATGAACAGGGCAGAGAATAGATGCTCCAGGGAGCAACTACCTCGTGCTGCAAAACCCATTTCTCTAGAGATAAAGGGATAAACTGCAAGTCTTTCTCTGGACTGCACCTGCTCAAACCGTTGCGACTAACCCAGTTCGAATTACCAAAGAGGAGTTTTTATGTCGGGGCTGCCATGAAATAAATACATTATGAAAACGTAACATCTTCACTGTTTTTAAAGAAATGCCAGCCCAACCAGTAGGAATTCAGAATAGTTTATTTTGTATTTGAATGTTATTCCTTCATGTGTCAAATTCCCACGAAGTATCCTTGTGCTCATTTTTCTCCAAAGCTCTTGCAAAAATGTTTGAAAATTTTTTTTTTAATTTCCAACCTTATTAAACATTTTTTCTGGAGAATTCCATTTGAGGTGCACTGTAAGTAATTTGTTGTTCCGAAGGTGGATATGTTTAGTTCAGTTTTGTTGTTGGTTTAGATTAGCCACGTCTATGAGAAGCCTAATATATTTACTGGAGTGCATCCTAAATACACTCCTGATAGTGTGCTGTACATGTGAACACCTGGGGATCAAGTGTTTATGACAAATAAGGTGAGAATTTATTACTGTTATGAATAGTAACGATATTAATAAAAGAGATGGTTTGTCCTGTTGACACACACCTGTAATTCCAGCGACTCAGGAGACTGAGGCAGGAGGCTCCCAAGTTCCAGGCCAGACTCAGCAATTTAGAGACCCTATCTCAAAATAAAAAGGGGTGGGGATGTGGCTCAGTGGTAAAGTACCCCTGGGATCAATCCCCAGTACCAAGAAAAAACAAAAACCAAAAAAAACCTGTTGGTCTCCATGGCACAGGTTGAATATAGGAATATTAAAAAAAAAAAAAAAACTTAATGTGTTTCATATTCCAATAATATTACTACATTCTGAATTAGTTTATTCTTGGGTTATTATACCTTATTTATCTACCTTTGTAAGTTTAGAGTAACAAAGTTGTCTCAGAAATTTCATTTTGTTCTTCTTGTCCTGGTTAATGAACATCAGTAGCTTTCCTTTGCCCCAAAACCAAAGTTTATCCTACTTATGTGAGAAAACAATTACCCTATCTTCCTATATGTATTTAAACTGTGGACAGGTCCTTCAGAGAATCCTAAGGAAGAGTTTGCTTTCTTTGTGAAAAATAATGAAGGTTCTTCAAGGATGCTAACTTTGCTTATTTGTACTGTAGAAATTTGTTAAATCTTTCATGTATACATAGTACACTATTTTAATGCAGAGTGTGATATGTGTCTTGCTAGCAGCTTTTCAATGGAAAATCTGGAAAGAGTTTTTTTTTTCAACTTTGGTAATTTTATTTTTTAAAATTATTTAAAAAATGTTTTGGTACCTGGGGTTGAACCCAGGAGTGCTTAATCAGTGAGAACTATCCCCAGCACTTTTTATTTTGAGACAGGGTTTTTCTAAGTAGCTGAGGCCGGAATTGAGCTTGAGGTCCTACTGCTTCAGTCTCCTGATTCGCTGGGATTACAGGCTTATGCCATTGGGCACTTAGTAATTTTAATAAGTTGCTTATTCAGATAGGAAAAGTATTCGACTGGGAGACCCAAAATGTGGGTTTTGGTCCTGGTTAATAATTGTTACAGGAGGTCTGCTCTGCCTGTCTCCTAACCTCTTACCTCCAAGAATCCATCCAAACCCATGAATGTCCAGTGGATATATATAGCTCTACTCAACAGCTAATGGAACCAGAGGTAACTACCTAATCAAAGTGGGATAGGAAAATAAATGATTTCTGGGACTTGCTGCAAATGGTTCATTTTCTCTTCCAATTGTTTTGTTTTGCTGTTGAAGTCAGGGGTGCTCCACCAGTGAACTATATCCCCAGTTGTTGTTATTTTTTATTTTGAAATAAGGTCTCAATAAGGTTGTTCATGCTGGCCTAAAACTTGTGACCCTCCTTTCTCAGCTTCCCCAGTCACTGGGATATAGGTGTGCACCACCATGTCCTGCTCTTCCAATCCTTAATGAGAGATGGAGGGGAGCTGCCAGTGGGATGTACATGCTTCAGCGGAAATGTCTTGTGGGTAGCAAACTAAATATATAGAGGAAGTTGGTCAGAAGACATGCTAGAAATGTTCAGAGCAGAGATAAGAGGAGCCACTTTAAATGAAGTTGGCTGGTTTTTTTTTTTTGTTGTTGTTGTTGTTATTGTTTGTTTTTTATTTATTTTTTAGTTGTAGTTGGACACAACACCTTTATTTTTCACTTGTTTATTTTTTTTATGTGGTGCTGAGGATCGAACCCAGGGTCTCACACGTGCTAGGCGAGCGCTCTACCGCTGAGCCTCAACCCCAGCCCTTGTTTTTTTTTTTTTTTTTAATATTTATTTTTGGTTAGCCACAATACCTTTATTTTGTTTACTTATTTTTATGGTGTGTTGAGGATCAAACGCAGACCCTCACGCATGCTAGGCGAGTGCTCTACCGCTGAGCCACAACCCCAGCCTGAAGTTGGCTGTTTTTTTCCTTCCATGTCTAATCCGTCATCCCTTTGCATGTTACCTGAGACCATGTACCAACTACCCTATCTATTAATCGAGCAAGTTTGAATAAATTTCTTTCTTATGCCCCACATCTCTTTAAGATTACTAATTTTATCATAGTCAAAAACTTCTTCCCTACATTTTTGTAATAGAGGTGGAAACCAGGGGTGCTTTACTACAGGGCAACATCCTCAGCCACCTCTCCTACCTTTTTTGAAAATGTCTAATACTAATAATAGGTTTTGAAGGTCATTTCCTGCTCTTTCCCACACCTCCCCCCCTTTTTGAGAGGTCTTATCAAGTTTCTTAGAATTGGTCTTGAACTTATGATCCTTGAACTTGTGATCTTCCCTCCTCATCCTCCTGAGTAGCTGGGGTTACAGGATACACCACTATACTCTGCTCAGATACTTTTTTTTTTTTTTCCTGTACCAGGGATTGAATCCAGGGACACTTAACCATTGAGCCATATTCCCAGTCCTTTTTGTATTTTATTTAGAGACAGGGTCTTACTGAGTTGATTAGGGCCTTGCTAATTTCCTGAGGTTGGTTTTTGAAGTCAGGATCCTCCTGCCTCAGTCTCCCAACCCACTGGATTACAGGCATAGACCTCTTTTTCTTTTCTTTTCTTCTTCTTTTTTAATGATACTTCATTTTTTAAGTGAACTTTATTTTAGAATATTTTGTTATAATTTGTATAATTAATAATTAAAAATACATTTGTTATAATTAATAGTTCATTTATTATAATTAATAACTAATTATACTGGATAAATATTGATATTTATTAAATAACTTTGCTTTTTCACATTTCCTTTGTTTTTACCTGATGTCCTCTGTCCCAGGATCCCCTGTGTGCCTGCCTTATACTTACTCATGGTGTCTTCTTTCCTCCCCCGCACCCATTTCTTCCTACCTTCCTTACTTCTTTCTTTGTCCTGGGGGTAGAGCATGCATACATGCTCTACCACTCAGCTACACTGCAGCCATTCTTCACAGTTTTGAATAGTTGTGGTCGTATATTTAGTAGAATGTCCCTCAATTGGGTTTTGTCTAAAATTTTTTCTTTATGATTAACTGAGTTTGGGGATTTGAGATATGTTATTTTCATCACATATCAAGGGTCCAAAGTATCAAACCAATAGCTTTAACCTCATCACCTGGTTGAGGTAGTGCTTGTGGGCTTTCTCCTTACCCTCCTTCCATGCTCTTCTCTTTGGAATGAAGTCACTCTGAGAAATCCACTTTCAGAATGGGCAGCAATGCTCCACATGCTTGAGGATAGAGTATCTACATAAATTATTAGAAATTCTTCTATGCAGGATATTAGTCCCCTGTATAATTATTTATGTAATCATATTTATATCACTAGATTCAGATATTTTTTATTTTTTGCAGTTGTAGATGGACAGCATGGTTTTGTTTTATTTGTTACTTTTATGTGGTGCTGAGAATTGAACTTAGTGCCTCATGCAAATATTTAAGGGGCTAGGGCTGTAACTCAGGGGCAAAAGCCCTATCCCCTCAAATATTTCTTTTATTTTTGTTTAATTATTTTTTGGTACTAGGTATTAAACCCAGGGATACTTAACCACTGAGGTACGCCCCCAGCCCTTTTTAGTTTTTATTTGGAGACAAAGTCTTGCTAAGTTGCTGAGGTTGGCCTGGAACTTGAGATCCTTCTTTTAGACTCTTGAGTCACTGGGATTATACGTGTGAGACACCTATAATTATTGGTTTTCAAAAAATTTTTCTTTTAAGATGATCTTTGGTGCATTCAGGGTGTAGACTGTAGACTTAAAATTTTTCTTTCAATGTAATTTGTTCATTCTGTATCAATTTCTAGAGCAAGGCCAGTAAGTCCTTGGCACAAGACTTAGAATATTTGCAAACTGTATACATCTTAGCCAGATTCATTGTTTTTTTCTTTTTTTTTAATCTAGCAAGTTATTTATACTCTTCTATTCACTGAACAATGATGAGACTTAAATCTAAGGTATTTAATTGTCCTATATCTATTACTTAGGTTTTAAAATATGTTTTGGAAAACTGGATCATTTTAGTTATTGAACTAATATTTTGTGTTTTTGTTTTTTTTCCTTCTCAAGGTGAAGTTGTTTGTGGCTTTTGGGATATATAAGTAACTTCATGCTCTTTTTGTTTTGTTTTTTGGATTTTTGTGGTACTAGGAATTGAACCCAGAAGTGCTCTACCACTCA